ATTTAAATGTGTTCTAACAACACACGCTCGTCTTTAATTCTGTATACATTATAATCCAATAATTAATTAAGCATTAAATTAAGATTATCACTAAAATTACTTTATAATACAATATTTAGATAAGCTTAAATGTTAAACTAAGCTTAAACTAAAAAATAAAAATACTAATTAAATAATTTACATTAATTATTACACTGTGTATTTAGTTTTATTATTATCATTAGTCATTAGTCATTAGGTATAGCCACCCTCTTTATTTACAAAAAATTATATATTTGTTTTTAAACCGTAAGCTTTTCGCTTGTTGATAATTCCAAAGATTCAAAGTCATAACTAATTTTTTAAGGGTCGTTGGCCAACTATTGTTTACTTATATATTATATTAACTTTATATGTTTTATTTAATAATAATAATAATAATAACACAAATAATATAATAATGAATAGTACTAAGTATAGGTTTTTGTCGACGTAATGCTCAAGCAGTCCCAGCACCTTCATCGACATCACGCAAAAAAAAGGATTGGTTTTTAATGTGTTTTTTAGTGATATAAATATAATTATAATACTACCTACAGTTAATAATCTACATCTAATTAATAATTTATTTTATTTTAACCTAAGATCGCAAACGTAAAAAAATAATAATGTTCAAATTTTGATATATCGTTTAATGTTTATTCACTAAAGGTATATAAAAGATATACAGTGTATTTACATAAAACTATATTTTTAATTAATGTAAAATAATAATATTCAATTTATTTGTCCCAAAATAATCAGTTAGCGTATAATTATTATTGTATAATATATATCCCATGACCATATAATAACTTGAGAAGGCCTTTACCGATTTCATTCTTTTTTTTTTTTAATTTTTGTAATACTTTGTAGAAGGTTCTTATGGAAATGAAGAAAATTGGAAAATTTCAGAAAACTTAAGGACTGTTAAATATGGTAACTTTTATATGAATAAAGTATAAGAAAACTTATAAAAAAGATGAATGAAATCGAAAAAGGTATTTTTTACAAATATATCTACAAAAAAAAAAACAAATCTTTGGGACGGTGAATGCCGGGCGGGGCAACTGATTTATAATAAAAGCTCTAAAAGAAAATAGTAATCAAACAAATTATAGTCTATTAGTGAAAAGTTATATGTGGATAAAAATTTAAAATAATACCTATTCTTTATTCAATAGTTCATTAACCTATTATATTTCAACGGCATTACCATTAAACAATCAACTCAATTCATAACATTATTTTAATTTAAAGACATTTTAGTCTATTGCATGAGAATTTTATTTCCGATTGATATTCACCAAAAAAATATAAAAAAAAAATACAATTTAAGGGTGTTTTTTCCTTAGAAATTTAATCTATTGAGTTAAACGTGTGTTTTATTATTCAAAACTGATAGAATTAGTTAAGATATTCGTGTGTTTTGTCACATAATTAATTGAATCTCTAACGTTGTGTGTAATATTTTATTGGTTTTGAAGGAAAAATCCTATTTTTACACATAACGGTCATGATATGTATATACAATTATTGTGTTATTGTCTTAGTATAATTTATTACGAATTGGATCTATAACTTTACGAGAGTATTTTTATAGGCACAATATGTTATTAGATATTTAACAACGTTTCATTTGTTATTCGACTTATGATTTGAACAGGACGCACACATGAAGGCACTCGTGAGTATTGTACCTACTATTATTATAGCTATTGTAAGATAATCTGCAAATCAGGCATGAACTATACGAGTTTATGGTAAATATAGTAACTGCTATAACTGGTATATTATAATATTATAATAAATGTGATTAATCTAAGTTATAATGTCATCAATTGATCTTAATGGTTTAGTTAGGTAATCAAGTATGTATTTATATATTACATTAATAAGTACACATTTTTATATCACACTCATAACAGCTGCTATTTATCGTACAAATGCTGCAGGTCTTGGATCATGGCTTGATTTTGTTTAAAGGTGGTAAATACCTAACTACCTTGGTGGCGTTTCTACCATATAATTTATACCATGCTGACGCTGTTTGACCTCGTGAAATCAAGATGTTGATGTTAGTGCTCGGTAAAAATATAAACCCCGTCAAAAACCGAGTAGCAATCTAAGTTATACTTGAAAAATCACACGGCCATCTGTTTTATACCACACATGGGGGTCGGTCGAGTGGAACGATACGCGCGCTCGTCACGATGACGGATCACTGGGGATGCGAAAAAAAAAACAGTGTACCTACCTACCAACAACTGCCTACACACACATTCGGACATTCCTCATAACTTTTTCACCATTTTTTTTTCTTTACCCGGTCAAACGAATCGTTTACGGTTTTCTTTTGAGTGGTTAGGGAAAAAAAGAAAAAACGACGGTAATAATAATAATAATATATAAAACCAAAAAGGTATGCAGAAAAATATTTTTGGTTAAGGCTGGAAAAATGTGAAAAGCGTATATAGCAGGCATAACAGGTACCTATCAGACTCCGGCGCACATTTGCAGCAAAAGAGAAAAACGCCGGGAACTCGATGGACCGCGAGGAAACGTGATTGAAAAAAATGCACATAAACAGAAATATATGAGAAAATAAATAGGCATTTTATACCGTTTTACACGTGTTCCTTTCATATTTCCCCTTCGGTTCGGCTCGGAAAATCCGTCATTATTTGGCCAGCCACTACAGCTTTCGGTAAAGCCGGATTTAAAACATTGTTATACTCGCAAGTATACGTATGCGATATAATACAAGCCCCTCCACCATATCCGCAATACTTAGTTTTTGAGGATTATAACTACAACAAACTGCATTACAAAATGTAATTTGATTAGTTCTGCGGATTGATAACATAAATAAAATTATTGAAGTCTAAACGAAAAAAAAAAATGATCGATCTATATAAATTCGTTATTAAATAGTACCTACCTACCTATATTTCTTCAAAATTAAAAATAAGCAATACAATTATGAATTATGAATTATTGTTACATATTTTGTTATACGCGAGCAAATTTACAATAATTTACTTTTCTATAATATTATAGAAGTTCTAAAAACTTGAATAATAGAATATTATGTTCCTCGATTAAATGTACATAGATTTAAAAAATATCTAATTTGATAATTATCGATATGTAGTTTATTAATCTATAATGTCAATATAATATTACAGTCTCGATTGTCAATATAATATGTTTATTTTCCTTACTTAATAAGGAACTTAGTTCGACACTTAGCTTATATTATTTTTATGGTATTGTATTTTATTTTATTTTGAATGATAAATTAATAATTAATATATAATTATTATATCTTAACATTTTCCATACCTATACATACTAATAATATTCTGCTATATTTTGTTTTATTATATTATACTCTACTATAACACTGAACCTACTCATTTTGCACCATATTTACTATATTGCGTATGTACTACACTACTATACATAGTTATTTAATGAAAAAACTAAGGCATAATATTCTTGATTCATTAACCCATGGGTTTTTAAGCCCCCTGATGTATTTCAAAATATTGCAATATTTTTAAACCCTTATTAGGCAATAATAATTATAAAATAATTACATTTTCATGGTTAGTTACAATTACAATTATTACGAATGTACAACAAGAATTGAGAGACATAAAACGTGTTCGTTCGGAACTTGAAATAATAAAGACGCATAATATTATGAGGCATTTACTATACACTATTACCTACTCAAAAAAAGATTCAAACAGCATTTCCTTTGCGTGTTAACGTCGACTGACAATACTTTTTTTTTTAAAGTACGAATTGCGATGTTGAAAGTCCGATAACCATATAAGTATTACTTTCAACTTTCAATACCAAAAAATTTGAACATAATATACCTTATACCTAAGTACTTATGTTTCACTCGTACTCGATACATTTTTTTAACATAATACTTTATTATATTATGATATGTGAGTTGTAGCTTGTAGCTAGTTTGTGTACAATTCATGGGTATTCAATTAACATGTGTTTCACTTTTCAGTCTGTAAGTTTCTGTAACCACTATAATCACTTTGAAAAATACAAAATCGAGTCCTCATTTTTATTTTTTAATACAATTGTGCTAAAAATATGTCCTTGTTTTTATAAATATGATTAGATAATTGAAACTATTTTTAAACGACACAACTAGTCACTATATAGAAACAAATTAAAAAATTCTTTATAAAATAATTAACCTTTTTAAACATTTTGGTGAATATTTACTGAAAAAGTGTAAATAATATTAAAACGCATATAATTATTTATACACGTCTAATAAGTTTTAAATTGAATTAAAAATTACAATATAATATTGTTTTGTTAATGAAAACAATAACAAATATCAAATATTATGACATAATTACGTAAACATAATTCAGATACCTGGTACCTTATGTATGAAGTGATTATAATTCTAAAACTAGGTACAAAAATTGGGTTTTGAAAAGTTTTAAGTGCTCATCAGCAAACACGGAAAAAGGGAAAAATATATACAAAAAAGTTCATCACTCTTTTCTGCTAACGTTTCTGAGTTCTTAAGCTATTTTATAGATTTTTGTTACCCGAACATTATTCATCTGACAAAACTTCTTTGTTTTTTTGCAACTTTTTTTTTTCAATACCTCGGCGGCCTAGGGGCCATTCTTATTTTCATGATTCCCACCAGAGTCCGAATTTGTTAAACCTATCCCTTTTGTCTTGATAAAAAGAGAACAAACTATGTGCTTGCTTTTAAGAAAAACAAATGCATAAAAGAAAAGTGCTAATATTTTGTGATGCTATACACAGTTCTCTGAAAGTTACACGTAATATTTTAATGTCAAGAAATAAAATACAGCCGACAAATCTGGATTCATACTGTTTACGTTCACAGTACCGATGTCTTATTATTATTATTTTGATTAGAATTAAATGTTCTAAACTTGATATAAATTGTATATACTTACTTTAAAATCTGGATCAGTACGTTTATTAAATGAACCGACGATAAAAAGGTTGCCGGTATCGGTGTCTACCATTTTAGCCAATGTTGTATACCTAAAATCAAAATTAAACAGGCATGGTTAATAATTAGTTCTATATAAGCACGTCTCATGAAAATATCTGTTACTTTCGTCTATTCTCAAATATATTATTAAGATTAATTAAAGGTTTGTTCAAAATTATGCACACTGAATTGAAACAACTTTATTAAAGTATTCCAATAGTTTAAGAACTTATTACTAACCAATATACAGGCATTAAGAATTCCATCTTGGGACATTTGAATTTTTAATTATTTTTGTATATTTTAGAATGAATGAGGCATTTTATATCATTATATGAATATAATTTATATATCTATATTATAATAAAGGTATAAAAGGTTATATAGTATAATATGTTAATAATATTCTATGGTACTTTACAAAGACCATAATTATATTCTCAACAAGAAGACAAGAACGTACATATAACACACATATCTTACAAATATATGCATATTAAACTTATTACTATTATAGCAATTACCTTTTATGTTCTGAAACTTAAATGTTAAATGTTTTCTCAAAGTTATATGTACGATTTTTACTTTTAAGTTTATACTACTATTGTATATAAATATATTATAATTGGTTGACATTTATAATTATTGTTGTGTAATCGTAACTTAAAACGACGCACGTATAAAATAAAATTTAATTTACTACAACCACATTTTTAAACCCTCATATTAGGTACCTACCTACCTACATGAGTTATCTAGATAAACTGCACAAACTAGGAATTGTATTATCATGTTGATTGGTTGCCGTCAAAAGTTTATAACAAACATTTTACACTTATTAAACTTATATTTTTAAATATAAAATAAACAAGTTTATTTTAGGTATTGATTTTTTTTAAATTAGTTAGGTACGATGTATATATATTCACGAGCTAAATCATTTTTGAATAGTTAGGACATTCAAATCATGGTGATAAAAAAAAAATGTAAATAAATATTATAATAAGCTTTATATACTGTTTATAAAAACTATATTTATTAACTAACTATACGGTTGGTATAAATAAGAAAAATACCTTATTAAAATGTCATACTTGTTAAATATACTGTTATTTTATGTTAAAAGATATACATCAATCTTATGTTTACGACTTGGAATCTCTATCCCATCCCTAAATCCTAAAACAATATCGTGAATAATTCAACCATCTCTTCCCCCTACTGGTTACTGATCAAAAATTATTTTCTTCTAGAAAGTCTACCACACCCCAATACTCCTCAGTTCTCGTCGTAATGTTTTGAAATCATGCACACCGCAATAACCTCAATAACAATAATAATGTCCGCGAACGCCCGAGTTCCGTCCCAGAGGCTGGCAATAAAACGCAATGATTCTTCTCTTTTAATACCTATACTCTCCTCTAAGCCAACAATAGAAGGCAATCCTCAGAATTTTAATCGAATACGTTATGTTTTTCCAATGGATTCATAAAGTGTGCGTGAAAATAACATTTCAGTGGGTTACGAATCTTAATCCTTTGAAATTTTTACTTCAATAAATCAATAACATATTTTCAATAATAATTTTACCAACATAATATTATATGTATTATACCTATTAATTATTATTATAGCTCATATGCTCATGTGCTCATGTGCTCATGTGTATATGTGCTATTCTATTGAGTTTGTAAATAATTTAATATTAAACGTGAAAACCAATTGTGACAATCAAAATATAATATTGTAGCCACAGGATAATCTTAATAATTTTTTAACTAATAAAAAATACGATAGGTATAGTTAAATACGATTTGTAAATTATTAAATAAGTTTGTGGGAAATTGAATGGCATTTGATACACTGACAATAAACAGAGTAAGTATATAATATTATTTATACAATAATAACCAATAGTATTAGGTTTTATGCTTTTATGTACATATTATTATACATGTATATAAAATATTGTATATTAAATTTGAATATCTTTAATTTCATACAAAACATACCTACATTATAGGTATAGTAGCTATTAAGAATTAATACTTTAAATTTAAAGGTACCTAATATAAATTTATTGATGTTCTTAAATTTTAAATCCAACGACCAGGCAGGGTCTAGCTAAATATAAAAAGAAAAGAGCGCCTTAAAACACACGCATAGGCAAACATACGCTTAACTTCCAGGACTAAAATTACAGCACCCAATATGAATCACAAAAAAAATTTCTTGATAAAGCATAGCAAATTTGTAGTTTAATAATGAAGTTTGAAAATACAATAATATAATTGGAATTGTATGCATGGCGTAGTTTTCAAATCATTTTGAACAATATAAACAGGGTTGTAGCCAATTTGTATAGAAATTATTGTAACCTATTTTCAACATTTTATTAGATAATATTCCCCGCTGCCCACATTACTATAGGTATAGATATTATTTATGTTATCTGCTAAAAAATTGAACTTAGCTTGGTGACTTAAGTTAAACATTTTAAAATATTATAGCATAATGAACTACATAATAATAATATAGTCTTCTATCATTTAAATAGGTAGGTAATGTAATCAAGTGTTTTAAAATTGCCAAGCTAACATCGATTTTTTATCAGATAATTTTTAAATAAATTATATCTATAGTTCAAAGACTTAGCTACCTACTTATAAAATGATATCACAACTTTTAGAGCCTTTTTCTTATACTTAAACATGTTAAGCATACAATTCAAGTATCTATTGGTGATTATTGATAACTGATGAACCAATGGTTATAAATTATAATATTAAGTAATTTATTCTGAAGTACCTAAGAGTATACGCATCCTTTTTATATAATGCATTTTGGATTTCTTACATAGTATTATAATATTATACAACTGAAGTATATTGTATTTTATAATTTCCTTGGATAGGCACCTATTTAATTAATTATAATAACAGATAGTATAAAAGTAATAATGACAAGAGCTCAATGCTAATAATTAGTAATGGTTGACTGATTTCAAACAAGTCATTAAAATTGTATTGTTATACTCGCTGATGGATTTTTTTGCATTTTTATTTGTTAAAACCTGCGTATAATTTAGTATTATCGAATAATATAGGGCTTCGTCAGGACGACGTGACATTGAATGTCATACAAAAATTTTGTATATAATATATTATATACGACGCTAATTCTGCTTTTCAAAATAATTGCATGAAACGTAAAATACTGATCCAAGCAATACCCACAACGGTTTAAACAAAAATATATCACTTATACAATTAATTAAATGTTAAAACAAGTTAATTGATGTTAATAATTTTGAACTGTCTGGTCTAAGCCAAAATTAATATTATCCCCAAGGTATACACAACATACGAGATGTGCATAATATTATATGACACAGCATACCTGCAGATACGCGTATGACACAGAATACCAGATCAGCTTATCGTGACACAGCTGCTTTAAAAATTGTATACCTTTTTAGTTTTTATACTTACGTAAGAATTTGATAATAGTAGACAACGTATATATATATATATATATGCATATATAACGTGGTCATAAAACCGATTTGTAAAACGCAATATTATAATATGCACATTTCCCAGTGACATAATGTTTTCAATGTATGGTTTTATTTCGAATTTCACATTGTGATTGCCTTTCTGACGTATATACGAGGTTATTTCATTCCGAGTTGCTGCATCCATTTATCCTATATAAGCGTTCAAACGGTTCATCAAATATTTTCTCTCTCACGGTTCATCGGTTTCATAGTAGCAGCTGGCCCTCCGGGGAAAAACTCAAAACCTGGTTTACCGATTCTGTTATATACCTATATATATTGTGTCGTGGATATATAAATTGACTACGACGACATGGCAACTTTTAACAAGCCAATTTCCGAATTTCTTCTCTCCATCTCGCTCTTTTCGTCCTCTCTGTGCGTCCTCGCTCCACGGTCCTTTGTCCGTTTTAATCTAACCGCACGCAGCAGTACGGCCTCTGAGTTCTAACAAGCTTCCTTTATCCACAAAAGGATTAATCGACCGTACCGAAAGTCAAGAATCAACCTCCCAATTTTCCTGTCCAGGAAAATGCGCGCAAAGCTGCAAGTATAATATATATTACAGGAAAGTTAAAAATTGAAAAAACAATTACACGTTATAGCGTATACCTAACTATACATGTTGAAAGTAAAAATAAAACAAATAAATATATATATATTATTATCGCTGCTTGTATTCCGAATTCGAAATGATATATCCTCTCCATCATTCGTTGGCGGGGCCAACTCGATTCTAAACGAGCAATGAATTGCCGTTTAGGGAGGCTTAGGATTTATTATCGAGCAACTGGTATGCAAATTGAAACTTACTGCCAAGGTCTTATCTTGTTAGATTAATACCAAGCGATCAGGTACCTACTCAAGTTGTAGATTAATTATTCATCTTATACAACGCAAACCTGCGTCGTTTGTGCGTCGGAAGAGATATTACTCAAATACGATGCTTCCAGCAGGATTTATTAATAGTATAATTAAATATCCCTTATTGTATTCTACTTCTCCCTCCGTAAATGCAACGATTTTAAAACGATTGATATCATCAAATGAGTTCCCTACTTGTGTTGTATAAGCTGTATAGACTTGCATATTATAATATATTATTTTATGTGTAGGTGCTAAATCAAAAAAAAAAAAATTAACTGAAACACAAACTAAAGCAACTTTTGAAACGTTTAACTAGTATAATAAGTCACCGCTTACCTCAACATAAATAGTATAAAATACATTTTACCAATTTATCAAAAACGATAATAGTATTTAGTATCACGGTGATGGCGGCGTTCAGTTATATCCAAATTTTGGACTAAACTTTTGTGAAGTCGATTTCGGTGAGTATTTTTGTACAAGGTGTACTAATCATAGTTTATATCGAACTATTAGAAAAAAATAAGGCAAACTGTTCCAGGCCATCGTGAATCATTAAAACGATATAATGTGTTTTTCTATACGTCGATTAAATTCTCATTTGCAGCGCCGAGTGATTATTAA